GACAAACCAACTTCATTCTTTTACTACACCTTGCTCTCTGTCTTAGCTGTGCCTGTCTGACGTCCCCCTTGCAGTTTCTTTAATCCCTCTTGTATTTTAAATAATCTAATTTTTTGTGCTGTGTTTCTCTTTTGCTTGTACCTCTGTAACAGAACTAACTAGAGGAGAATCAACTGCCTGGATTCAAGTCTCAGTTCCACAATAAATCATGTAATAAATCACTTAACCTCTGTGCACTTTGGTTTTCTTATCTGTAGCCCAGGTCTGATAGTACCTACCTCATAGGGCATTGTTGGTTTAAATGAGGTAAAGCATGAAAAGTTCCTGGTACATAGTAAACCTTCAAGTGTTAGTTGCTGCTGTTATTAAACACTTCTCTATAATTTGATCAAACTTCTGAATTCAAAGAATGTGGCTTTCTCATAGTTCAGAGCCCTGACACAGTGCTTTACACATGAATTATCATGGTTAAATTTGGGGCTAGGTTATAAAGGAGAACTATGAAACTGTTTCCTGGAGATGTGAAAGGCTCACTCACCTATCTGCCAGGATTGTTTCAGTGAAATTTTTCCTGAAAGCAGAGACATGCATAGATCAGCAACCTTTATGGGTGAGTGTGGTTATTTTATTGGTAAGTATTGGACTGTGTAACGTGCCGGTCTTGCTGACCCCCTTAGGATTTCTCTGGACTCAAGACACTTTACTACTAAATTCACAGTGCTCTGATACTGATACTCATACAGAGGACCACGATGATAACAAGCACCTTGTTGATCCTGAAGAGAACTCTGGAGGCTTCTTCAAGCGTATGGGTTCTTCATTCTCTTGAAGCCTTCCATACATGTGGTATGTTTTGCCGAGACCTGGTTCTGCCAAGATGGTTTTAATTGTTTCTGCTAAAAGGAATGGACTCAAGGATTTGATCTCGTTTTAGAAGAGATTATCCCCAACTGACCATCTTATGGCACTTTAGTAGCTATTGCCAATGTGTTTGGTCACCGTTAAATCAATATTTATTATCTGTTGGGGCAAGTCAGTAAAATGAATGCTGTGTCCTGACTGGCACTCTTTTCATGTTGTTTAAATACTTAATTTAGTTGTGTAAGACAATTCAAGTATTTTCTTAAATAAAAAACTTAAAACCTTTTTCTTTCACATTGCTTTGTTTTCTGTGGCAAAATGCAAATGTAGTTGAAGAACCACCAAAGAAAACCTCTCCCACTAACCTTGATAAGTCGTGTTAGAGGGGAAAAAGTAATCCATATATCTAAGAAAGTTTTTAACTACCTCATCTTCTACATATTTTGCTAATGTAGTTAGTGAGAGCAAAATTTGGACTTGTGTGTTGCAGTCCCCCCCCACCCCAACACACACACACACATACACCACTCAAATACTTAAGCTTATTTTTGCTTTCAGGATCACTGGTAACTTTTTCTTGTCCTCAGGGCTGCTGTGGAGAAGAAAGTTAACCATGACCCTAAATTGGAACAAAATATTTTTTCTTTTAACAGTAACACATGTCTGTAGTTTTTAAATGAATATAGGAAATTAATGTTCCCTCCCTGACATTACACCTTCCAGAGAGTACCACTGTTGACACTTTACTAGGTATTCTTTCAGAGACTGCTTTCTTTACTCTGTGTGTGTGTGTGTGTGTGTGTGTGGTGTTTGCATATATATATGTGGATGTGTCCTGTTCAACTGTTTTAACAATAGCAAGATCATATTATACATGAGTAGCACTACTTTCTTTTTTAACTTAATTTATGATGACTATCTTTCTGTGTCAGTAAATATAGATCTTCCTCATTTTTAATGACTGTATAGATAGATAGCTGTCTTACATACTGTATAATATAGATATATTTCTCCTTTCTATTGTACATTTGTCTCCCAGTCTTTGCTATTACAAATAATGCAACTGTGAACTTAACCTTTAGATAACAGAAACTTCCCTTGCCAAATATAATAATCTGACATTCTAACTGAAGCACATCAATTACTCTATTAAAGCAATTCATTTTCTTTTAAACTGGTTAAAAAATGGTGGCATTCGTAAGAATTTAGAGAAAGAAGCTAACATTAAATCCATGTTGTGTTTTTCCAGATGTCAATTAATACTCCTCCTATGAGGTAGGAGACAGTATTTTATAAACTAGAAAACACTAAGAATCAGAAGAGTGAACCATTTACCCAAAGTTTCGTTAGTGAATCCGAGTTTCAAACCTAGGTTCCCTGACTTAAAAATCTAGAACTGCTTCTGCTGTCCCACATTGCCAGTTTGGCTAGTCTAAAGAAAATAAAAATAGCTTGTCCCAGATGCATGATTCCTTGGCTCAGACATGAGCAGCTAAATCTATGGTTTGCTTCTTCTGGATGTGGAATGCAAACCACCATAAAAGGTAGTCTCTACTTATGAATATTACATATTGAAAGAAAAAATTATATAAGTTATTGTCTTTAATCTGGCATTATTCACTGCTCATTGTCAAGTTTTCTGCAATCATTGCTAATTGGTATTTTATAGTGCTTACTTCCTGAACTAGTGAATTACATCATGTCATCCAATGGTTTTATCGGAACCCTTTTGAGAACTGAGCACATAGGGAAATTTTCCCCAAAAGGCCATCCCCTATCCTACCTATAGCACTTTAAAAAATCAACTAGATTCCTTCTTTCTTGTTGGTAGGAAATCTGTTGGCCACTGGGGATACCCTAGAGTTGTACAGACCCATGGCTGAAACTTCAGGAAGCCCCCTCTGGTGGTTTGACTTGTCCCTCTGGTGGTAAGCCCCTATACCCGCTGCTGAAACATCAGCTACTCCAGGCCGAATGGTGCAATAATTCCCACACTTGGGGCATGGTAACCTTTGGTGAGCCAGAAGCCCCTATGCCTCTGGACTTTCTTCCTGGATGTACCAAGGATCCATTTCCCCTTAGGTCTTGCCGTCTCACCACTATGGCTACCAAACACTGTGCAGATCACTCCTCCCTCTGATTTCAGATCTGATTTCTCGACCTCTGGTTTTCTGGGGACTGTTCTCTCTTGCTTTGGCTTTCCTCAGTCATGTTTGCCTAGTGTCCCCTTCTTTGGTTAAACCACAACAAAAACAGATCTTTTCATGAGGCTAATTTCACCCTCTGGCTCTAGGACTAGATACAGAAGCCAGATCTGGCCAATCAGTCACAGTGATTGGTTCAGGAATGAGTATGTCCTGTGACCAAGCCAATCCTGGGACTCTCCTGGAAGAGTTGTTCTCCTTCCTTTAGGGTGCTGAAGGCTGCAGAGGGGAAAGCTGAGCTGACGTCCCAAGTTCGCCAGCCACTGCTAAAGAGCCTACCTAAGAATAAAGCCATCACGAAAGAAACGTTGAGAAATGGAGACAAATTTCTGTTAACATAATTTTAGCCTTCGGATCAAGCCTTGCTCAAGGCCAAAATTATTGCTGGATTTTTCTGTTTTCTGAGTATATAGACTCCCTTTTTTCCTTAAGCCAGTTTGAGTTGGGTTTTTGTCTCTTTTAACTGAAAGAATATTTATACTTTCCCACTTTCCTCTTGACATTAAATACATCCATCACTTCCCATGTTTTGGCATGTCATTTTAATCTTTTAAGTAACAGGCTTTTACAAAAGACAGGAAAAAACTGTTCACTTCAGGCCACTTCTAAACCCAACAAAAAGCACCTGCAACTGCTTGAAATGGAGGGAAGAAATACAGCAAAATACAAATTAGTGTCTAAAGAAGTGTATCGCAATAATATTGTCAGTCTGTTTGGGCTGTTGTAACAAAATACCTCAGACCTAGTTGGCTTATAAAAAACAAATTTAACTAGATGTTAACTAGATACATTGTACACCTGAAACTAATGTAGTATGTCAATTATACCTCAATTTTAAAAAAAGGAAAGGGGATTTTTTTTTTTTTTTTTTTGACTGCAGCGTGTGACTTGTGGGATCTTAGTTCCCCAACAAGGGGTTGAACCCAGGCCCTGAGCATGAGAGTACAGAGAATAGTACATATATACTGGAGTATAGTATATAGCAAGTCCCACGAATCTACGGTGTGAGAAAGAGAAATTCCTACTGTGATCCAGTTCCTCACACGAGGCCAATCATGAACTGTATACAGTCTGAGGAGAGCCGAGAAAGATGGTAGGTACCAGCACACAGCTTTCTCCTACGCTGGTCATAGAGCCTGAAAACCTTACTCAGCTTTACCCATCTGGCCCAAATACATCCAGAGTATGTGTCATGTAAACTCCAATAGAAAAAAGCAGTAGCAATGAACTTTTCAATGTTGGGTTTTACTTCTTGTAAAATGTTGAAAACCTGTGTATCCAGGAGCAAAGGATGTTGTGAGGGTGGTAAACCATCTATCTTGAGCCCTTGTGTCTCCAAAACTGGTGTATCAAAGCTAGCCAGCCCCTTCTACCCAGGATTTCCAATAAGGTGGGCCCAAGGACCCTCACCTCTTGCTCACAGAGTAGCCTTTGGCTGGTTTCTCTCGGCATCTTGTGACTCTTCCCTCTTCTGACTTCCTTTCCTCTTTCTGGTCTCCTCCTCTCCTGCCTCACTGGTGTTGACCAAATGCCATGATTTACAGCTGCTACTCTCACCCATGACTAGTCTGCCCAGAGTGAGAGGTGATAGGTGAGCTCTCTCTATGTTGAAGGATTTTGTTGTTTCTGATCTGACCTATAGATCAGTGACCTCTATGTTGGGGTCAACATCTGAAGGGGTTCTCTATCAATCACATAGTGACTACCACAAGTAGCGCATGTTCTAAATTACAACTAAAGACTCAGTAAGTGAAGATCGTGATTTGAGAAATGACCTGGAGAAGAAAAACTACGTGCAGATCCCTTCACTGCTACGAGCTAGTTAGTTGCCATTGAGTATGTCACTTCATCTCTCTTGACTTCCATAGAAGGAGCTGGAAAGGTCCCCAACTGTGGGCTAAGAGCTGGTTACATCATAATCACCTGGAACCATTGTTAAAGATTCATGTTCCCACACTTTGCTACAGTTCTGTATTAGTCTGCTGGATGGGAATGTATGTATGTTTTCTTAGCAAACAACCTAGATGATTCTGATGGGCATCTGGGCTTGGGAACCAGTGTAGTAGGTGATCTCTCCTTATGCTAAGAGATCACTGAGCCTGCTGTTGCATTAGCCAGGTTTGGGTGGAGCTGGAGCTGGTGGGGGTGAGGGACTGCCAGACCTCTCCCAGGGAGTGTGTTTGGAGGGCCCCAGGGGATCTGCAGAAGAGAAGCAAGGTCATGAGCTTTCACGCATGTCACAGATTCTGTGCTGTCTTTCTTCAGTTCCTACCACAGGAAGGCAGCAGGCAGCAGGGCTCCACTGGTCTAAACCATAGTTTTCTGATGACCCAAAGGTTCTAAAAATACAGAAGAGGTCCAAATCCTGCTCCTGGCTTTTGTGGGGGTGGAGAAAAGCAGAGTGCCCAGGGAGAGGTTGCTACAAGCCACAAAGTGGTAATTTCTTCCCCGGGGTGAGGAACGTTTTTTCCCTGTCCCTGCCTCTAGCTGCAGTGGTGCAGTCTGTTACCTTGGATACCAGCTAACACTTCCCAATAGGGCAAGCTTCACTGTTGCTTGGAGGAACTAGAAGTGGGAACCAGGAAAAACAGTCCTGGGATGACCAGGGCCCTTCTCCCAGAGTTGGAGAAATAGAGAAATGCAGGTGAGGTTGAGAGTCACAAGTATTGACAGAAGGGAAAAAAAGAGGGTGGGGGAGGCCCAGACACTAAGTTCTGCAGTGAGAAAGACTCGGGAGCCTGGGTCTTAAGTGCCTGCTGTCTACATGCCAGGCATCGTGCTAGGTGCTGGGGTACAACAGTAAAAAGGGGAGTGATGGGAGAAGAACTGTGGCAATGTGGTATGAGACAGCCAGAGGGCAGGACTAGGAGGAAATTATTTCCTCCTTAGGGGCTGGGGGCAGCAAATGGGGTTCAGGAAAAACTTCTTGGGTTTTCTTATCAAACAACATTTTATTGCAAAGGCATTTCTAGAAGTAGATCCAACTTGAGCAAAGGAGAATGAATTAGCAAGGTGTATAAGTGGGGTTATCAGGGTGCACAAAAGGATGCAAGATGAGGTAGAGAGGTGAGTAAAGAATAGAGGCAAAAGGAGTGAAAAGTCTTTGAACAAGATCTAGTTTGCTTGTCTACAGTACTGAGGAGTCATGGGCAGGGTTCTGAACAGGTAAGAATACAGACAGTTCTGCATATCAGAAAATCATTCTGGCAGCAGATTGTAAAATGGATTGGATGGGGACAAGACTAAAGGTTACTAGGCAGTTAAAAATACAAACACTGGGGGTGGTTTTATCATTAGGAGAATCCTAGATCCAGGTGTTAGCACATCAGGAACGTAGCCGAAGATTTTCTTTTATCCGCTAATCAGGGCTACCTCTCTCCCTTTGACAAGATGCCGTTTCCTAAGGACCTGTTTGCATGTTCTCCTCCCCTCCTGTGACCAGTCTCCCAAGGTAACGTGGCCCACCTTTGTCTAAACTCCGGACCTGCCCTGAGTACATTTACTCAACAAATGTTTTGGGGGCAATGTTTTTCTAGGCAATGATTACAAAGAACCGTTCTAACTTAGGTTAACTAATTCCTGCCCTCAAGGATCTTACTTCTAGTGGACTGATGGGTAGGGGAGAGTGGGGCAGAGACATAATAAATATATAGAACATCAGATGATGAAATGTGCTACAGCAGAAACAAAACAGGGCAGAGGAGGCACTGTCTGAGGATGGGTAATCGAAGAAGACCTCCCTGAGAAGGTTTCATTGAGCAAAGGCCTGAGGGCAAGGGCTGCCCAGCTCTGCCTACCCAGTACCGGGGCTCTCTGGCTCCGAATAGGCACTCTATAAATGTACACAGAATGATGTATGACAAAAGCCACTACAATATTGTAAAAAAAAAAGAAAGAAAGAAAAAAAATGTACACACAATGAATGAGTGCTTGAGTCATATGCTGAAGTGCTTGAAGATGCGGCAGGTTTTGAAATGGTATTCCTCATTCCTATAGTACTTTGTATTTTACAAAGCTCTTGTATATTCAGTTTGACCTGATCCTCTTGATGGAGTTGAAGCAGACATCACAGTTACTATTATCCCCATGCCATTCTGCAGATGGAGAAACCAACGGTCCAGTGCTCCTTTTAGCACATCACATTGTTTTCGTTAGTTTTATGCAGCCCAAATACCCCTCCATCAGCCAACACAAGTCACCTCAGAATCCAGGTCATTAGGTTGTTCATGAAAAGAGGGAGCTGAGACAGGGGCATCCAGTGTCCACGAGGCCTTTCTATTCCAACAGTCTTGGCCACTGAGTTTCCCAGCAAACTGTAAGCCAGCTGTTTTTTGAGGTATTGCCACAGTATCTTGGTGATCTTCTGAATAAAAGGTTAAAGTTCCAAAAGAGAAAAACAAGTTGCTGAACCATCAGTGTGTTGCTGTGTGTGCGCTCAGTCGTGTCTGACTCTTTGCGACCCCATGGACTGTAGCCCACCAGGCTCCTCTGTCCATGGGATCTCCTAGGCAAGAGTCCTGGAATAGATTGCCATTTTCCTCCTCCGGGGGTCTTCCCGACCCAGGGATCGACGCTGCATCTCCTGCGGCTCCTGCATTGGCAGGCAGATTCTTTACCACTGAGTGAGTGAGTGAGTGAAGTCACTCAGTTGTGTCCGACTCTTTGCAACCCCACGGACTATAGGCAACCCCAGGCTCCCCAGTCCATGGAATCTTCCAGGCAAGAGTACTGGAGTGGGTTGCCATTTCCTTCTCCAGGGGATCTTCCCGACCCAGGGACTGAATCCGGGTGCAGACAGACGCTTTACCGTCTGAGCCCCCAGGGAAGCCCATGAACCATCATTAAACTATTTAATGTTTTCATGAGAACACCCACTCCAATGTTAAGCTTCAACTCCATCTGGAGATTCCCAATGGCTGTTTTTTGTTTGTTTGTTTCAAATAACATGAAATCTAAATGAAGTTGCCACGTGGCGCTAGTGATATGGGTTTGATCCCTGGGTTGGGAAGTGGAGTGCAACCCCCTCCAGTATTCTTGGCTGGAGTATCCCATAGACAGAGGAGCCTGGCAGGCGACAGTCCAAGGGGTCACAAAGAGTCGGACACAGCTGAAGCGACTTCGCACACAGAAAGCCAGAAAGGAAGAATTAGAAGGAATTCCTGCAGAAGGGGAGGAAATAGAAGGAACAAGTATCTAATGGAACCCAAGAGCAGGAAGTGAGGTCAGTTCTTCAAGAACCAAGGTTTACCTCCCCTCCTCAAAATATTTATTATCTACCAGTCATTGCTCTCATGTCATTTATAGTCTCACGGGAGAAAGATGCCAATTTTTAAAAATCACACTAATGAAAAAAAATAAATAAAAATCACAGTAATGAATGTATTATTCTAAATTAAGTACTTTCAAAGAAAGGAGAACAGTTCTGTGATAGTTGACCTAACACAAGAAACCTGGAATAGAATGGGATGGTGGGGAAGACTTCGCAGAAGAAGTGAAGTTTGAGCTGAAGAGTCACGGATGAATGACTGGGGGCAAGGAGCGGAAAGAATGTTCAGAGCAAAGCCAGCCCATGAAAAGGCCCTGTGACTAAAGGAAATGTGCAGCATTCCAGGGTCTGAAGGGGAAGGGGAGCTGTGGAACACAGACGTGGTGAAGGGGGTAGAGCAGGAAAGCTGGAGAGGTTGGTGGACAGTGGCAAGAGCCTGTGAGCCTCAAATGCCATCGTTCTGATCTTAATCTTCATTCTAGAAATAAAGGGAAGACTTTGAACAGTTTTAATCAAGAGGGAGAAGAGGGGATGTGACGTTGGGTCTGTAGGGTTTTTTGGCCGCAACTTATGGCCTGTGGGATGTTAGTTCCCTGACCAGGGATTGAACCCAGACGTGTCAGTGAATGCACAGTATCCTGACTACTAGTTCACCAGAGACTGCCCTGGATTTCTGTTTTTAAAAAAATCACTCTGACTTCAGTGAGAAGAGATTAGATGGGAGAACTGAGGGGATGTAGGGAGGCCAGTTAGGATCTACTGCAGTCGTCTATGGCAGAGGTGAGAGAGGCCTAGATGTGAGAAATGCCAGTGGAGACAGAAGTGGTGAGATTTGAGAGAGGTAAAATTTACAAGGTTAGGGACTTCCCTGGCAGTCCAGTGGTTAGGACTCTGGCTTCCACTGCAGGGGGCACAGGTTTGATCTCTGGTGGCAGAAGTAAGATCTCGCATGTGGCACAGAATGGCCGAAAAAAAGCAAGATTAGATGATGGAGTGGATATGCGAATGAGGTATCAAGAATAATTTACTTCTGACTCATATAAGTAGATGGATGGTGGTTCTTTTCTCTAAGTTAGAGAACAAAGACCAGAGGCTAGTGTATAGGAAATTTGAATTCAGTCTTGGACATGCTGAGTTTAAGTTGCTCCAGATGGAAATATCCAGTGTAACTGAACACACGGGTCTGCAGTCAGAGTGACAGGTCTGGGCTTTTGACATGCAACTGGGAGTCACTGAAGTACAGATGATAGTTGAAGTCAAGGATAAGGATGTTTGCCTAGGAAAAGAGGAGAAAGTGAGAGGAGAACTGTGTGCATGATTTAGCCTTGAGGAACACCAACTTAAAATGCTCAGGTAGAGAAGGTGAGCCTGCAAAAGAGACTAGGAAGGAGCAGAGAGAGGAGGAAACCAGGAGAGAAAGGCCCCAGGGAAACCAAGGCAGGGAATGGCCCTGCCCTCAACGTGTCTCTGAAGATGGTCTTCCCCTGCTTCTGAATGTACATGGTGGCCTCACAGCTCTTCATTCTGAATTCCCAGAGAGAGGATCTGATTGATCCGTCAGGCCCACGTCTACCACTGACCCCCTAAGCTGTGAGCAGTAGCTGCAGGGACCCACCCTCTGAGTGCAGAGGCAGTTATCAAAGGCAAAACTCAGCCTCATCTTAATGTTTTCCCTCTCCACTCCCCCATCCTCTAAATCGTTATGGGCACTTGCTGTCTTCTCCGCCTAGTCCAGACTGCACCACACTCAACACGGCCACCTCAGTTTCAGCCTTCAAGAAAGCCAAAGCTCAGGCCTTCCCTGGCGGTCCAGTGGTTGGCTCCACCTTCCAGTTCAGGGAGCATGAATTAGATCCCTGGTTGGCGAGCCAAGGGCCCACATGCCATGGGGTGTGACCAAAAATTAACAACAAAAGGGTCTAAGCTCAAAAGACACTTCACTGACCACCTTACCTATGCAAAGTAGATTCCTTTCCCGATTACTCTCTATCCTTCCTTCATCACACGTTCCGCAGTTTGTTATTACTATATTTAATTTTTTTTTCATTTATTCATTTATTTGGCTGAGCTGGGTCTTCACTGCTGCACAGGCTTTCTCTAGTTTGGGTGAGCGGGGGCTCCTCTCTAGTTGTCATGCGAGGGCTTCTCACTGCAGTGGCGTCTCTTGTTTGGAGCACAGGCTCTCGGGCTCGAGAGCTCGGTAGCTGCGGCTCCTGGGCTCTAGAGCCCAGGCCCAGTAGTTGTGGCACGCAGGTTTAGCTGTTCCGTGGCATGTGGGAATTTCCTGGACCAGGAATTGAACCTGTGTCTTCTGCATCGGCAGGCAGATTCTTTACCACTGAGCCACCAGGGAAGCCCCTACTATATTTAATTTTTAACATCAGTCTCTCCTTCTGGGAGGACAAGGACAATGTCTAGCTCTATGACTGTCCGCCGGGGACGGCTGTGCTCCCCGGAGACATTAGGCCACACTTAGAGACATTATTAGTTGTTACAACCTGAGGGGCAGGGATGCTCCTGGCATCCGATAGGTAGAGCATTCTTCAGTGCCCAGGACGACTGCATGACAAAGAATTATGCAAAATGTCAGAAGGCTTGGAGTTGAGAAACCTTTTTTTGGTCATCTTGTTCACTATTGTATCTGTAGCATCAAGTAGGTGTTCAATAAGGATTTATTGAATGAATTAATTAAAGAAGAGTTGAGCTGAATATAGATGCCCTCCAAGGCCATCGTCTACATGTTGCATTCATCCCTTTCTGGTATTATTTTGCTCCCTAGGAAAATAAGCCCTGGATGTTTTTATAATGGCCGCACAAATTAGTGATGTCTTCCATGGTCAAGACAGTACATTTCTGGAAAATCATTGGTAAGCATCTTCTCTGATTTTTCCAAATGAAAGCAACAACAATGACAACATTTTTTTCATGGGAGTTGAGGGGGAAATACGTGCCTTTAAGTGAGACTAGATAAATGATAATTGCATCATCTTACACCTGAGGGCTTCAGTTACCTAACTACCAAAACAATAAAATAAAATGTCTTATGAACTTGGAGTCCACATTCTATCAAGATCCACACAAGAAACTTCCCCAGTTACTACACAGAAATAAAAATGTTTCTGGAGGCCCTGACTGCGTGGCATCAATGTCTGGCACCAGGGCATTGATCAAATGACTTTGTGTTTTGTAGCATGAGGAGAGACAATGACAGAGATCCAAAGAAGCAGTTGAACCAGAAGAATATCAATGAACTTGGCCAAAAGCTAGACAATGGACTCCTGGTTACGCATGTTAACCAGACACAAGACTTACTGGTAAAAAACATAAGTGCTTCTACTGAGCAGCCGTGCTCACAAATCATAGCTGGGAATGCAGAATGTATTAAATTCTGGGTATTTCTTTCTTTATGTAGGATCTCAGGACTAGTTAAGAATTCATCTCTAATCTCCTGTCTTTAAAAATTACTAAAGAATCTCTATGCTATTTATAGAAATAGTATAGCCTTCTTGGCCATATCATCAAATATTCAGGAGGGTGTGAAGATGCTATCCTTGTTATCAAAGCTTGAAGGCTAAGGAATTTAATTCTAAGATTCTCCTTCCTGAGATTTGTTTTTCTTGTAGGATTTCCTAAAAAATCTAAATCCAAAAATCAGTTTTGGGAAGTGCTATTGAAGCGAGAGAGTTATGGCAGGAGAATTAACCTCTAGAATAACCAGAACTGTGGGCTTAGGCTGACTCCCATCATGTTGATGAGCTGTCTTCTCGTGGTGGTGAGTGGATTGTCTAGAACTCACAACTCACTCTACCGTAGAAACAATTGCCACCGGGAGCTGTCAGTGCAAGTCTGGCCCATAACTCTCTACCTATACTAGAGTTTAACAAAAATCTTTTGAAATGATGATCAGTCAAAAACAATACAATTTTAATGCTGGTGATTAAAAATCAGGAAAATAGTTGTGTTTTACTTTTCTCAAGTATTGGCACTAACAGGAAAGCAAGTTTAATTAAAAGGAAATGAGCAAAGGTCAGTAGGGTATGGAGATTCTGAAGCATTCAGTGACCTTAGATGTTGATACTATGAGTATCTAGTTCACCTAATTTCTTATCAAATACATGACTTCCCAGGTGAACAAGGACCTCTCTTACTTATCAGCCACAACCGGGGCCTCATTTACCTCACAAACAAATTGCAGTGGGAAAGAGAGAATGGATTGCCCCAACAAAGATCGTATTCTTCTGTATGTCAAGCACATCCTTTAGTGTGTAATCAGTATGTCTACACTCAAAGTCCATAAAGTGTTTAATGGTGCTCAGTCGCTCATTCGTATCCGATCTTTGCCACTCTATACATGGCATTTGTACATGGAATTTCCCAGGGAAGGACACTGGAGTGGGTTGTCATTCCCTTCTCTGGGGGATCTTCCTGATCCAGGGATTGAATCCGAGTCTCCTGTATCGGCAGGTGGGTTCTTTACCTCTGAGCCACCACCACTATTAAGCCTGTGTTTAATAGCAGCTCTTCAAATGTTAACAATACAAAATCCATGTCCTAAAACATGATGGAACATTTCAAAGGCAAGTAAAATGGAAGAAAAATGTGAATGAGAAGTCTACCTGTTTCTGTGTTACCCACTAGGGAAGTGGTTGTCCTAAAAGATGAGGAGAGTGACATCTAGTGGTTATATGACGCAGAGCGGCGGCTCCCTAAGTGTGGGGCTGGGGCTAAGATTACAGGCGGGACGTTAATTAGCAGAGAGAAATAATGAGAAAATTGTCTTTTCAGTCAGTTCTCTCTCGATCCTTCACAAAGACAGTCAGAGTTTGGTGGTAATTTAAAGGCCATATAGTATGGTGATTGTGAGCATGACTCAAACTATATGGCTTGGGTCTGAATCCCAGCTCCACCACTGGAGCGACTGTGACCAGCTGGGTGACTTTGAACAAATGACTTAATTCTCAGTACTTCAGTTTCCTTGTCAGTGAGATGAGGTTAACAATGATGAAACCTATTTCACAGACATAAATAATATATGTGAAGTGCTTGTCACATTAAAGTCGCCCTAAGTGTTTGCTCTAATTATTCGTGTTTTTCACACTTTAACAGTTGCTAATTTCCTTTTGAAACAGAGGGTGAGCAGGCCTCAGGCACAGATGTAAGGCACCCAACGCTATCTAGCTGGACTAGGACAGCAGCAGTTTATTTTCACTGTCCATTTGTTTGTTACCTCCTGTGTGTGTGTTGGTCACTCAGTCCAGTCCAACTCCTTGCGATTCCATAGACTGTAGTCTTCTGTGCACCAAATCCGAGCAGAAACAAGAGTCGTTGATAAGCACTGCTTGGTGAAGAAGGAGATGCATGGCTTGCCCAGCATCACAAAGGTAGTAAGTGGGGGGCCCAGGACTGCACCCGCTTCTTTCCTCTCTTCCTCTGCCTATTCCTCCTTCAGAATCCTCTATCGGATCTAATTCTGTCTAAGGCAGCTCAGGCAGCCACAGCAGATAATTCCATCCCCTTGTCCACCACCTCACCCTCTGCAGTGACAGCGTGACAAAGACAAGCTTGAGCAGGACACACGCGGGGTTTCAGCAGGTGCACAGGAGGCGGGCAAGGCCATCCTTGGGTGTAGACAGGCCCACGGTGGCCTAAGCAGTGCAGGTCCTTTCCACAGTCATCGGAGGCTGCAGGGTGGTTTCTCACTGTGGGACTGAGCCGGCCTCCCCTGACGACGGGATTCCTCACCCCCAGGCATGGCCAACCCCGGCAACATGTAAGGCCCATTGATTCATGCAAACAATGGTGCTTGTGGCCCATTGATTCATTCAAACAATGGTGCTTCTGCCGGAAGCTCTTGCAGAATCCGAGTCTGATCTAGGCCTTGCACCTTTCTAGGCTCCTCTGGTGTCACACATAGCCTGTGTTCACTACACACACCAATTACCGGGGCCACCCTTCTGTTCTGGAAGAACTCTGATCCAGCCCCAAGTCTACCTCTGCCTGGAATGTGCATTCCCAGGGTTGAACAGGGCTGCCTCCTCCTAGACTTCCAGAAGGACCTTCTCTGACCCCCATCTCAGCTAAAGTGACTCCCCATCTCCACCCTAGTCATTTTCTGTCACATTCCCTTGCCCCACTTTCTTAATATAACTGTTCCTTGCTAAAATGATGTACATTGATTTTGCTTTTCTTTACTGACCCTTTGTCCACGCTAGAATGTGAGCTCCGAGAAGACAGGAACATTTCTGTCTTGTTCACACTGTAGCCCTAGCACCTCAAAGCAGGGCTCAGAACAAGGAAAATGGGCTCAGAGCATCATGTCAGCTCTCTCCCACCTTCTGGCTCCCAGAACATATCAGCGATGTTGAATGCTTGCTGTGAATGACTTCAGCTCTGTCACCAAGGCCACCACCCACATCCTGAGCTTAGCATTATGTAAGTGACACAGGCATCTCTAGGCACAAGCAAGTGGGCGTGTTCATTCCGTGGCCAGACTCCTGTGATGACTAGGAAATTCTTCCGCTGATATTTTATCCTTTGCTCTTGTTTCTGGCCTCTGGACAGGGAAACTTATTCCCTCTTCCATTAGTCAACAAATATTTGTGGAGGATCCCTCAGACTGAGAGGGAGGCAGAACTCATATACCTGAAAAGATACAGAGAATGCAAATAGAGAAATAAACAAACACACCCCCATCACTTGTGTTTGGCAAAGACTCAAAGGCAGACAGGGAATTAGGTAAACTTTAGAGTGAAAAGAATGAGGAAGCGTCAGGTGTGCCCTGAAGGAGCAGGCACACGGATGCCAGAGATGAGCTAACTAGAAGCTGGGTATCTCCTGTGATTGGTTTGGGAGTATGTTTGGCTTTCTCTGGCTGGTCCTGAGCTGAGAAGGGGATGAAAATAGGAAAGGTGGCAGCCCCGTCACAGTCCAGACCTCCTGATCCAGTTCCTGGAGAGGTTATGGTTTGGCTCCATGGACCGGTTGCTGCAGAGGTTGTGGGTCAGAGTTCTGTAGTCAGCAGGGTCTAGCCACTGTGTGTTTGTGTATCAGCCTCTCACAAGGCAGGATGCGGCGAGTGACCCTTGACTCCTCTGGGGACATACTGGGGATGAGGTGAGGGATGGGAACCAGTATCATCGGGGGCAGGTGGCCCAGAGCACAGGCCTCTCTGCACACGTCTGTTGCCTCAGCAAGACGAGTTCCTGAACAGATTCTCTTAGGTAGGACCAGTCAGGCTGGCACCCCTTGGGGGTCCCCGTGGAGGGACCTAAAGCACCGTGAGCTTTGCCTTCTCTTTGCACTGTTTTCTCCTTGACTCTGGCTTCTGTTTCACAGAGGCTGCAGGGGGATGAGACCCAGCCTTCAGTCTGGGAGAATTCAGAAGATTGGCTTTCAATGCACAGTTTAAAGTCTAAGAAACTCACTTTGGCTGACCTGATATGCCAGGGCACAGCTGTGCCGTAAGTCGGAAGCCACTCCCCTCCCCCTAAGCCTGTGAGACATGTCATCCAGCCCCCTGAGCCCAAGAGACCCTTTCATGAGACTTTGCTTCTTCAGGGAGGAGGCCAGCAGTGTCTCAAAGAAAATGCACTTCCCCATCCAGACCGTCCACCAATTTGAAGCCAAGCTTTCTGAGTAAGTATGTTTCTCATGTCCTCCCAACAAGCCCAGAGCTCAAGAATTACCTGGGTTCAGCACCCTGAAAGTGACTTTGTTCAAATGACAGGCTCTGTTGGACCCTGTGGGCAGTTTTCTTCCCACCTCTGGCTCCAATGTCCTCTTTTTTCAAATAAAGAAGATTGAACTATATCAGTTTTTCTCACTGTCTTAAAACTCATGGCCCCTTTGGATGAAACCTCGCTGCCTCATCTGATTTGTAACAATTAAGTGTGGCAGATTGATTGGGTTCATATCTTTACAGATGTATGTTAAAAATATTCAGGCCCCCCAAATTCCAAACCAGTTTTTTTCTTTTAATGTGGGCCATTTTTAAAGTCTTTATTGAATTTGTTACAATATTACTTCTGTTTTGCGTTTTGGTTTTGGAGTCATAAGGCACATGGGATCTTAGTTTCCCAACAAGAGGTTGAACTTGCACCCCTTGCATTAGAAGGCAAAGTCTTAACTACTGGACCACCAGGGAAGTCCCTAAATCAGATTTTTTTAAAAAACTTATCTTTATGTTTTTTGGCCTCACTTCACAGCCTGTGGCATCCTAGTTCCCCGACCAGGGATCGAACCCAGGCCCTCAGCAGTGAAAGAGCAGTGTCTTAACTACTGGACCACCATGGAATTCCCCCGAACTAGACTTTGTTAGCACCAACCCCTGTGTAGCAATTGCTTGCTTGATTACTGCTTGCCTGAGATTTCTTCAAAGGTTAGAATAATAATTAGGCACCAACATTTATTCATGTGTCAGGCATTCTGCTAAAGGCTGCACACATTATCTTACTTAATCTTCACAACTCAAAAAATAGTATTATTCTCAAGACAGTTCATGGGAAATCAGTTGCTGAATGACCAATTTGTCAAATTTATCAAAGCATTTTACCTGTAACTTTTATAGCAAATTTTATTGAGTTGGAAGTTTAAACAGATTTTAAAGATTTCTGTAGTATTTTTGGTTGATTGGTTTTAATTGTGAATCCAGCATTTTAAGGAATATTCTATTCAGTTCAGTCATTTGGCAAATTGATTTTCAGAGAATTAGTTTTAAGTAAACTAAATCTCAGGAACTTGACTTGAATAAAATCTTATTATTATCTTCACACTGGAGATGTTGAAACTGTAGAGTTTACCATACCTGTGCAAGTCACACAGCTAATAAACAACAGAGCTGGGTCTCAAAGACAAGCACATCTCATCATGGAGCCCATGCTCTTTGCTGGCACCTACTTGTGGGTCTTATGACTCTGCCCACTGCCCCCCATCCATGAGTTCATGCCCAGAGGGCCTTTTCTGGGCCCCCAAATCCCACCTACCTCAATGAGGGCAATTCAGTTAAATTCAGATGACTGAGTCCTTCACTTGAGCGCCTGTTACAGGCTGATCTCCAAACATCCATAGGAATAGTCTGCAATAAGGGAAACTCAAGAAGTTCCCCTGGCCACTTACTATTCAAAAACTAAGTTTTTTGTTCATCAATCCACTGAGAAACTGATGCTAAGCAGCCTCAGTTGTGCCCTTATGATCATGTCCAGGTGACCAGAAGTCTCAGCTGAGAAGACACAGATTTGAGAAGAGCAAGAATGTTCTTCCACCTTCCTCATAAGAACCCTCTCCCATCCTGCACAGACTGACCCTGCCTTGAAGCCCACCTCTAGCTCCGCCGTTTACAGTGCAACCTGTAACACTAAGAGAGCTTTCCACAATCTCCTCCATCTTTTACCCCAGCAAACAAAGACCTTCAGTTTTTTCTGGGCTAGATTTTACCTTATATTCTCCCAGTGCCTTAGACACATTAAAAGAAAAAAATTCCCACTGCATTTTCCTTCTGTGTATGTGAGCGGCCGTTGCTCGGTGCTGGAACTGACCTTGGGTGACAAGTCTTCCTGGTGTTTTAACAGAGCTATTGAACTCTATCAACAGAGAATTCAGTGGCTCACAGAAAACAGCAAGAAGGTAACAGATTTCTTTCTTTGCCTCCTTTTAGTCATTGCATCTGTATTTGTTAGAACCTTTTCTGTTGCAAGTAATAGACCTCCAATTTACATTAACCAAAGCTAAAAAAGGAATTTCCAGACCTACAGAAATGAAAAGCCCAAACACAGCTGTATCCTAGGGTTCAAATGATGTCATCCTTTGTCTCCGAGCTCTGCTTTCCTCTGGGTTGGTTTTACCCTCCGTAAGGCTCTCCCCAGTCTTGGGAAGATGAGGGTCACCAGCAGCTCTAAGTCACTGTAGTGGTGACCTTCCTTTCCCAGTGCATCCTCCCAAGTCCTGGGACTGACTCTCTCTGGGCCAATTTAGACCAATCACCATAGCCAACGGGGTGAGATACACTAACTGCCTGGACCCTGAACTAGTGCTCACTCCGGGGAAAGACAGGGGTCAGGGTAGTTGGGGAGAATGGGTGAGATCTCCCCAAACATCACAGACTGAGAAAGGGAGACAGATGGTTGCACATGGAAAGCCAGAGAGCTGTTACCAGGAGAGGAAACATCCTGTTTGAGAACAGCTGAAGCTCCCCTGGACCATTTCAGCTCAGACCTTTAGTGAGATTTACAACTAAGGCTGATCATCCAGACATAACTTCTGAAAGTTCGATTAAATGTTTTTCTCAGACCCAAAGGGTAGAAGGGTGTTCATAAGCAAATTAAGCTTCATTTTGCTTTCTTATTTGTTTTAGCCTATGTTCTTCCAATTGATGTCTTTCTGGCCCACAGTTTCTTTCACCTTAGGCAATCCTTAACCACTTTGTGGCTTCCCTGGTTGCTCAGATGGTAAAGAATCTGCCTGCAATGTGGGAGACCTGGGTTCAATCCCTAGGTCAGGAAGATCCCCTGGAGAAGGAACTGGCAACCCACTCCAGTATTCTTGCCTGGAAAATCCCATGGACAGAGGAGTCTAGCAGACAATGAGGTAGCAAAGAGTCAGACGTGACTGAGTAACTACATGATGTGATGATGTGACAGGCAATCCTCAACTCTTTATGTATTTATTTCTAATTTATCTTTGGTTGTGCTGGGTCTTTGTTGCTGTGCTTGGGTTTTCTCTAGCTGTGGTGAATGGGGGCTATTCTTGAGTTGCAGTATGTAGGCTTCTCTTATTGCAGACTTCAGTAATCCGCTCTTGCGGATTTCAGTATTTGTGGTGCACAGGCTTAATTGCCCCGCAGCATGTGGAATCTTCCCAGACCAGGGATTGAACCCGTGTGCCCTGCATTCGCAGGCAGATTCTTAACCACTGGACCACCAGGGAAGTCCAATCCTCTACCCTTGTTTCAAAGCCTGAGATAGGTGAGTGTTGGAATTTATGCTACCCAACCCCAACGCCCACTTGTACATACGCCCAGCAGGTGACAATACAGTGCTAAGGCTAGCTGCCTGAGCCGATTCCAGGGTGCAGTCTACATCTCAGATCCAGATCCCTCTTCTCTCGCTTAAGACAGGTCAGCAGATGCACATCTCCAGCTGTAGCACGCCCCCTCTGGTCGGTCACGGTAACACAGGCAGAGAGGGACGAGAGCCTCACCTCCTCTACAAACTTCAGTTCAGGGAATGCCGCGCTCAACCACCTACGCCCATCACACTTGTCCTGGCACTTTCGACAGAGGGGCAGGGATTGCTGGTTAGGTCCTTCTTCCCTTTATCCTTTTCTGATGGAGTTATTGAGGAGCCAGGGAATAAGCCCCAATTGGATTCCATAGGAGCAATCACTTGTAAATCAACTCATGAGTCTTCTGAGTGCTTCCACACCTGATGTGATGCATAGTCCATCACTGTACCCAGTTCTGGACTCCTGTCAGCAAAACCACACTTCCCTGGGTGTCTGTTTCCATGTCTGCAGAAGATCAAACAGGGGTTATAAACCAGTGGCATGCAGGCAAATCTGGCCCTACAACCATGTTTTCCTTTGCCTCAATAGGTTTAAATATTTTTAAAATTAGATGTCAAGATTTCAAAATCCTGCTATTTCACTTTTATGTCTACTTTCAGTCTTCTCTTGAAAAAATTTAGGGCTATCTGGCATCAATGGGCTCCAATTCCCTCTCATGCACTCTTCCATTTGTTTCTCTGGGATAAATTTCTAGAATTTCAATGGCGAGGTTTAAGGGAATGCATTTGTCAATTATAAAAGCTCTAAAGTCAGCTTTCTCAAAATTTTAAAGGATAGACCTGGCCCCAAATTTGAACTCCTTCTGGCCCCTGAAAATTGGCAATGTCCTGGGAAGCTTCATACTTCATCTCTTTTTATATGAACAAATATTGTTTGAGTGATTACAGCATATCAGGCACTTTTTCCAGGACCGGGGATTCAAACATGACTAGTACAAAGCTCCTACTTTCATGGAATTTATGGTCCGGGGGAGAGGACAAATCACATACAAAGTTAGTTTGTGATGGTGCTATACAGAAAAATAAAGCAGGATGAGGGATGAAAGGGTGAGATAGAAGCAGGGATGTTTAAATAATAGGGTAGTCCAAGAGGAGACATTTGAACGGACACCTAAAGGGAGTGAGGGAGTGATGTTGAGATCGAGGGAGAATGTTTCAAGCAGAGGAAACAGCTAATGCTAAGGCCCTGAGACAGGAACATACTTGACCTGTTCCAGAAGCAGCAAGCAGGTCTATGCAGCTCTTGACTTTGTCTCAAGAGCGCAGAGTGAGCATTTGGAGAGCGGATGGAGTTAGGGGCAGGCACAGATCAGGAAGACCTTGCTGAGTTCAGATTTTATTCCAAAGACGAGAGTTTTAAGCAGGGGAGTGACATGATCTGACTTCAGTTTCAAAACGATCACTCTGGATGCTTCATAAATTGATGGTAGACAACAAAGTCTAGGAGGAAATGATGTTGGCTTAAACCCAAGGGCCAGGTAGGGGGATGGGATGAGAATTGATGGATTCAGGGTATGGTTTGGAGGCAGAACAGGCAGGACTTGCTGATGGATTGGGTAAGTTTAGGGCCAGAGTGCCTAGGTGAATGTTAAATGCCATTTACTGAGGTGGAGAAAACTAAGTATGGAACAAGTTTAAGAAGGAACAATAACTTAGATATCCAATAAAGCAAGATTTAAGACAAGCATCCAGTGGAACCTATTACCCTAGAGAACTATTAATTTCCTATGAATGAAAATTCCAATTCACAATGCAGCTATAACAGGAAGAACAGTTTCGAAGTAAATCAAACAGCATTGACATGTAGCTAGAAATAGCGGTTAGAAACATAATTAGAAATTCACAGAAATACTGCTACAGCTAGAGAACTTAACACATCTGCTTTTGATTGGTAGAATAGGCAGAAAATAAATAAGGCTATAGAGAAATGAAAAAAGATAAGCTGATGTAATTAGATGTCAAACAGTCTTACAAAGGCTGCTTTTCTACAATCTCCAAACTTTCTTTAATGAACACAAGTTACTTTATAAAAGTGGACAGTAAGTATTAAGGGGAAAAATTTTTAAATAAGTTGCCACAAATAGAAGCAGATAATGCCCCAAACTAAAACTGAGACACCCAGTTTTGCTCTCTTCTCTATAAAATGGGACTCCCTTGTGTGGCCTCTTGTTGAGGCTGGAATGTGCTTGAATTTCTGCTTCAACAAGCTGCCCAGTGAAAGGTTTGCAGAAGCACAGAGCTGTGCTGGTTGTTCTGCACACCCTCTCTGATTTTAGGCATTTGGCCTCATCAAGGGGGCCAGAGTCGGCATTCTCATTGACGTGTCAGCTGTCAGCAGTGGCCCTCAGAAAGAGGAGTTCCAAAATGACCTCATGGTAAGTCTCTCTGGCACAAAGAAGTACCTGGAACCACCTCTTCCTCCCCACCTTCTATCCCCACTTCCTCTCCGCCCTCCCTTGTGAGATTGCTAATGGCTTTGTTGATAGCAAGTGCAAAATGGAGCATTTTACAAAGAACAGTTCACACTTAATTAGCACCGACAGTTAAAAAAAAAATATGCTGAGTTCTTCGAAACCGAAACCGGGCCTCAGAGTCATTTGCAGTTGCGGTGTGAGCCTCTAGTATTCACACTGGGGCAGTCCCTACCAGCTTGACTGTCTCAAGAGCCTGTGCTCCCTGGAAAGAGGTTGTGGAGGCGGGGATCAGTTGGACCGACTCCAGCACAGGCTTCTGGCCTTTTCCTGATGAGGCGCGATCCTGGCTGCTTTGGTTGTAACTGAGGAGCTAAGAGCTCTAGGGCCAAATCCCAGGCACCTCCACCACTTCTTGGCTGTGTGCCTCTGTTATCTCGTCTGTGAAACAGGGATTGATGACTCTCGCCACCTCACAGGGTTGCCAGAGGACAAAAGGAGCCCCTGCAAATGAAGCGCTCAGTACAAGAGTCTGGCATCGGCAAAAGCCCCTGTAGTCTCTGAGAAGTGATGTGGAGGGTCTGTTTTCTTAGAGGAACCTCTAAGCTTTGGATGAGACCTGAGCAGCAGTAGCTGGTCCCAGAATCCTAGAGAGGGATCAAGATGGGCCCATTTCCAGACTTGTCCCTGTTCCTGGTCTCAGCAGTTCAGGGAACTGGTGTCAGTGCAGGCTGCCCTTCACAACATCCCCAGGGCCCAGTTTCCAGAGATACCCCTGGTGGGCTGGTTCAGTATTAACCAGGGCAGAGCTCGTGTTTGGTGGTAACAGGTGATGTTTCTAGGTGGCTGATGATAGCTTACGGTGATCGGTGTTGGATTTGTTATCTCCGAAGGGCAAAATTTCTCTTTGGGACCAAAGACTCGGCTTCAGTCACTTGGAGCTTTATTTTATTACAGTGAAAATGGGACAGAGAAAGCTTCTGATATAGACATCAGAAGGGGACAGAGAATGCCCCACTAGTTTGGGTGGGGCTTTATATACTTTTTTAATTGGTTACCAACAATAGGTCAAAAGAGTATCTCAAGGTTGTAAAAGTCTTACCAGGCCCACTCCCACAACATGCATCTTAAGATAGCAGGATTAGTTAGAAGGTTTTTGTTAAGAAGGAAAAACTTGCCTTTGAGCAAGATACATTGTTGTTATATAATCATTAGTGTGGAGCTTAAGAAAAAAGAGCAAGATGTTTTGCTGTGTAATCATTAGCTCTGGGCTTAAAGAAAGATAGTCTTAGGCAAAATAGATTGTTGTCATAACAACTCAGAGTTTAAGGGGAGAAAAGTCTTATGTGACTAAGATGAGAGAATGTAGAAAAAAGTTTGTCCCTTCCTCCTCCGCGAGGGCCCTGGTCGCCTTATCAACGTACCTAAGAGTAAGCTCTCTCACCAGGAAGGAGGGGGAAGCATTATCTTACTGGTGGATACTCACCAGGCTGAGCTGAGAACACCCAAGAGGCTGGCCCTGCACCCATCACTCCATCCCCAACTCACACGGCCAGGACAGCAACCACTGCCCCCCACCTCCATGCTCCTCCCTGGGTGCCACATGTAAATGCCACAGTCAGGGTCCAGCCACTGCGCATGCGGAAGTGGGTGCTCATCCCACCCACATCCATGACCCAAGTGTGTGGCGGTTGCTCCAGAAGAGATCTTGGGTCTGCAGTTAGTGGCAGTGAGAGCCAATCTCCAGAACTGGCTGACCACCCAGGCCCCACCCTGACCATGCGCAGCCAAGGACAGGCTGGGATGGGCAGCTAGGGTGCTCCACCTAGACCCCTGTGACCCCAGGGGCAGCAAGCAAATGTCAACTTGGGGCTGCTAAGCTGAGTCTTAAGCGACCCTGTTCTCATCTCAGCCCAGAGGGCCCAGCCACAGCATGAGAGGTGAAGGCAGGCTCCACATGACTCTGGGAGCCACTGGTGTCCTCTTGCCCACCAGAGCCTCATTGACGAGCAGCTGAGCCGTAAAGACAAGCTGTACATCCTGTCCTTCGGCGCTACCACCAGCGCCCTCTGGCCCAGCCCGACAGAAGTCAGCGCCTCCAGGTGAGCGATTGCCTGGCCTTGGCCTGGGTGTTTGCCTGGTCACTTTCCTCCCTAAAAGTGTTCGTGTCTTTATCAAAAGATTAAAGTACAAAATAAGTGAGACAGTTCACAAAAACAGAAACACAGGGAGTCAGCTACTTTTGGAAAAGTCACCACCCCATGAGCACCACAAAACAAAAAGTTAAGATACCATTTCTACCCAGAAATCTAACAAAGATAGTTTTATTATTATGAAAATGATGCATGCTGATTTTCAGAAACTGCAACAGTATAAAAGGATAAAAAATAGCAGATGAGTCTCCCTCTCACCCTAGTTCCCCCTCCCTCACGTCCCAATAATAGTTTCTTCAATCTACTTCCACAGTCTTTGCACATATATGCATCTGTGTGTTTATCGTCTTTTGTTTAAACATAATCAAGAGAACATTACACTATTTTTCATCTTGGCTTTGCACCTAATTTCCTCTCAATATGCAGAGATCAACCTCTTTCTTTTTAATAGCTACCTAACAATTCCACTGTTTAGTGCTTTCCCTGGTGGCTCAATGGTCAAGAATCCACCTGCCAATTAAGGAGACTTGGGCTCAACCCCTGGGTTGGCAAGATCCCCTGGAGAAGGAAATAGCAACCCACTCCAGCATTCTTGCCTAGGAAATCCCATGGACAGAGTGGTCTGGTGGGCTACAGTCCATAGGGTCTCAAAGAATCAGATGCAACTTAACAACTAAGACGTAACTAAACTAAGAATTTCTACTAATTTATGCCTGAAAGTAGACATCTCTTTTCCAGGAAGGGAATAGCCTTGATTATCCACCATGTGTTCAGTGCCATGCTTGGCAGTTCACGTGTACGCTCTTACTCAATACTTATAGCCAGCACATGGAATAGGATTACTATCCCAATTTTGCTGATGAGGAAACTGACACTCAGGTTAGGGAACATTTCTTACATGGTAGTCAGGATTGGATTCCAAAGCACAGAGCGGATCCCAGGGAAAGCCACTTGCTTGGTTTCTGGGACGGAGGTTCCCTTGTCCTGCACTGGCCGTAGAGGGGCGCCCTTCTGTGTAGAGAAGTGCCCGTTCAGGCAGCATAGGCTTTGAATCCCAGCTCTGGCAGTTATTGGGGGATCCTGACTCACCCTTTAACTCTCTCATTAGCAGAATAAGGTGAGGATACCTGCTTCTCACAGAGTTGTTGGCATGGGAAGTGCTTGGCATGGGGAAGACACCCAGTAGATAAGATTGTTTGTTTATTTTTTAACTGTGATTTCCACTCTCGTTCAATCTCAAAACTCCAGGATGTCAGACCTGGAAGTCACCTTGAGACCATCTAGCCAAGAGCTCCTCAACGGCAGTTATTCCTGGATTTCCCTTGTGATTTTTGTCGTATCCTTGCCACTTTTACTGTTACTTACTCTGTACAACTTGTACTATTATTGATTTTAAAAATAACCCAATATTTATTCTGAATGAAACTATCAGTGCCATAACTGAGAAGCCTGTATCACTTGCCATAATTACAAAATTGCTATAAAAATAAATAAAATGAAAGCAGACAAAACAGTAATATTAAATTCCAGCTTGAAACCTATTGACTAGAGATGGTGCCAGGCCTTGGATTTGTTCTCTTTGTTAAAAAGGGAAATTCAACCATTATAATAATGAAAGAGACTTACTGGCAATGAGCTGAGGGGGATTTTTGGGGGTGGGTGTCAGAAGGAAAGAGAAATGGGGAGACCAGAGCTGTCTCACTAGTGCCGCGTGAGACATTGAACCAGGAAAGCTCCGTATTGAGTCATTCCCCTATTGCCAGTAGTGTGTATTCCAATCCATGTGGGACGTAGTGACACAGCTTTAGTGTCTTCTCTTCAAGACTCTTTGGGTTGGGGATTAACCCCATGTTTCAGGCTGAGATCTGCCTCCAGGAGAGTTGAAGAGGAAAGGAGCTAGGTCCCAGACCCCAAATAGCAGAGTCACTAGAAATTCAGGCCCTTGAGTCACACCTGTATTGAAGTCTCAGTGTTTCCAGTTGCTTACAGTATCCCCTTGGGCAAGTCCTAACTCTTAGCCTCAGTTTCCTCATCTATAAAATGGGAATAAGGTATCCATATCAAAGAATTATTGTTAGGCTTACACTAGCCCATGTTTGTCCTGGGCCTGGTCCCTAGTCTGAGTACTGTTACTCAGTTTTATCATTTCGCCTAGTCTCCAGGAACTCAAGCTTTGGGTGAAAAAACTGAAGCCTGACAGAGGCAGCAATCTGCTACAAGCCCTGAAGAAAGTCTTCGTTCTGAAAGGGCTGAATTCTCTGGTGACCATCATGGGAAGCTGGTAGGTCTCCTTTTCTAAGCTGATAAACAGACCCAGAAAGGGATTGGAGAACCAATGCAATGTTAGAGAAAAGACCATTAAGCGTGACTCTTCACGTACTCTTGAGAGAGGGCTGTGTTTCCAGGCCATTCATCTACAGATTTTTATGGCAGGGGGCCAGGCCAGCCAGGCCTGAGGCCCACTATGCCCTGCATCTTAACACACGTGACCTGGGACACAGGTGATTGGTTAGATTTGGTAGAGTTTCTTTGGGAATTACCATCTTGCTGAAGTGCCTCCTTCTCTTCTTCCTCCTTCTTCCCAGCCCAGATCAGCCTTCTGAAATCCTGTCCGATTACATCCAACAGTCTACCATGGGAAGGGACCTCATTACCCATATCATCACCTACAAATGTGATGATCAGGTGCCAACTGTAAGTACCCAAGAATCTTCAAGGCTTCCCTTGGGTTGGCGATAGTGAGCTGGGCCAGCCTTTGAGGCCCCCAACTTGTGGATCAGAATACAACTCTCCTCGTACCTAGTTCTCGCATTGGTTAGCCCAGCTGGGAGGCTCAGACAAGGAGAAAGCTTGTAAGACTAGCAGCATTGCCCTAGGGAGGGCTGACTCTGTCTCCATCCCCACAGGCTGTTCTGAAGAACCTTGTGGAAGCTTTTGGGGGCTACTATCACTGCTACAGCCCAGAGACAGAGGTAAGCTCTTGGGCCAACATGCTGCCCCCTCCTCCTATCCCTGCCTGCTTCCAAGGTTGTGCCTGGGGAATCTGGGCCAGAAAGATTCTTTGTGTGTACTGGCTTCCCTTCTCCCCCACTCAATGGGTTTACTCACGTAAAATCAGATTAAAAAGACTATGTGGGAAGAACAGAAACAACAAAAAGTCACAAGAGATCCTTTTGTCAGGGTGTATGATGAGTTGATTGGGCTACTCAGGTCACTCAGTGGTAAAGAATTTGCCTGCAAATGCAGGAGACATGGGCTCAATCCCTGGGTCAGCAAGATCCACTGGAGGAGGAAATGACAACCCACTCCAGTATTCTTGCCTGGAGAAGCCCATGGACAGAGGAGCCTGACAGGCTACAGTCCATAGGGTCTCAAAGAGTTGGACACGTCTGGGCAGCTGAGCATGCACAGAATGAGCTGGTTGCATGCTGACAGAATTCTGAATTCCTACCTAGTAGCCATCAGCATGGGCCCCACCCCGCCTCTGCTCCCACCAAAGCTCTGAGTCTGAAGCAGTTGCTTCAGTTCTCTCTCCTAGATAGACCCCATTTACTGCAAGAGACACACAGCAATCAATTCTGAATGAGCAAGTAATTCTGTACCAATCCATCCATTAGTCCTTGTCTCAGTTAATAATAACATCACACACTCTGTGTCTGTAATGGAGAAGACAGCAAATGTGTGTGTAGATCCATATGGCAGATTGAGAATCCAGCTGTCTGTTGAGCTACAGGCTGTGCCTTGCCTGCTAACTACTAATTGCCAAGAGTAAATGAATATTTGCATCTCACAAGTACGTTCTAGTGTTACAAAGTCCAAGGTCAGGCAACATTTTTCTTGGGCAAAACCCCTTGTTACCTCACTGGCCAGACTCTGTAGGAGTGACATACTCCAAGGCTAGGAAGATACTATGGGTGAGTGAGTGAAACTGGCTGGTGTAAGAAATGTTTTCTCTTAAAACCTGTGAACCTCTTGGCTTAGTTGTTGTTTTTCCACTCTTGATGGAGGTATGGGTAAAAGAAATTTCATTGTTTTCTTTATTATGAGCAAAACAACAGTGCAAAGATGACAAAAAATTACAACTGATTCTGATGAGAACATAGCAGTGAGTGGTAAGGAGTGTGATGAACAAAACAGCACTTGCCCCAACGAATGAGACGCCTCTGCTCAGCCCTAGCCCATTATTTATTTGTTCTGCAGGAATGACCCCCAGTGTTACCTACCAGTCTTCTGATTTTTCAACAAGAGCCAGATATCTGGATTTGTGTGTGTGTGTGTGTGTGATTTCCTTGCATTTTTAAAAAATTGAGGGACTTCCCTGGTGGTCCAGTGGCTAAGACTCCATGCTCCCAATGCAGGGGGCCTGGGTTTGATCTCTGGTCAGGGAGCTAGATCGTACATACAACAAAGACCCAGAGCAGCCAGATAAATAAATAAATTTTAACTAATTGAGAAAATTCTCATAAATAAAGTGAACAACAGTGGCAGTTGTGTAACCACCACCTTTATTTAGCTCCCAAACATTTCTGTCTCCCCAAAAGGAAACTCTGTACCCTTAAAACAATTATTCCCCATTCCCCCATCCCCTGAAGCCCCAGCTCATTGTCAATCTGCTCTCTGTCTCTTGGGATTTACCTATTGTGGATACTTCATATAAATGGAGTCATATACCTTTTGTGTCCATCTTTTTTCACTCAGCATCTTGTTTTCAAGATGCATCTGTGTTCTAACATGGATCAGAACTTCATTCTTTTTATGGTTGAATAATATTCCATTTTCTGAATATACTACCTCTTGTTTATTCATTCATCAGTCCATGGATATTTGAGCTGCTCTGAACTGGTATGATTATGGGTGGATAAGTATCTGAGTCCCCGTTTTCAATTATTGTAGGTACATAGCTAGGAGTAGAAATGCTAGGTCATGTAGTAATTTTTTGAGGAGCCACCAAACTGTTCTCCACAGCAGCTGCACCATTTTACAGTTCCACCCGCACCCCTCAAGTTCCAATTCTCCAGTGTTCTAACACTTGTTACGGTCCTTTAATAATTACTATTATAGCTAGCGGGGGTATTAAGTATTTCTTCACATCTGTAAGGTTAGACAGCCTTTCAACTATTTAAAACACCGCAAGCCAATAATGTACAAAGGGAACCCGCATTGGCAGGCTGTCTTGCACATGGATCCTGTTTATAACGTCCGCTTTGAAGAGCATGCCACTTGGCCCTAGGGATTCATGTGGCTGCCTGCCCCTTCCCACCTCCGCCACTGCCAGTAACCAGGTGACTGCTGGGTGACTGATCTGTCCCCACCACCCCCAGATCTGCAGCAGCCGGGAGGTGGATGAGCTCCTGGCAGAAATCCAAAAGGCCCAGAGCCTCCAGGACCACGTGCAAGCCCTGCACCCCGACGCCCCCTGTGAGGATCCCACCGGCGCGATGCAGGAGGTAGGTGGCTGAGAGCTGCAGCTCAGACCTTCCCGGAGGCGTGGAGGCGTCCCACCTGTCACTTGAGGGTGCAGCTGCCAGGCCCCCAAAAGTGGCGTAAGGCAAGGCCCCACCCCATCACAACCCCCACAGCTCTGAATGGCCCCAGCCTCTGCTGGAAGGATCCTGGTGGATTTTCTAACTGAAAAAAATTTATTTCAGAGAAAGGTCATCAGGCCTCTGCCACCCCTTCCACTTAAACACTGTCCCTCCCTTCCCCCCAGTTTGGAGAATGATGACAACCTCAGCTACACAGGGTAGGCTGTCTGGAGACATCTTCTCACCAGCATTTCATTCATTTGGGGCAAAGGCCCTGCTTGAGGGTGTTTAATTTATCAGCAGAATAACTCAGAAAGTTTATGGACACAAGCGCCATAAAAGCTGTGCTCTGTTTAGATAGCACAGACAACTTAGCTGTGGACAGAACAGAATTGGAAATACTTTTATAGCATCAGAGAGTGAAGACTTGGGGTACCACATGTTTTGACCTGGCCAGCTGTCGTGAAAGAAACACAGCACTTAGACTGAGGTCTTGAACTTTAGCTTCAGCTCTTCTACTGATTATCTATCAGTTCAGTTCAGTCACTCAGTCGTGTCCGACTCCTTGCGACTCCGTGAACTGTGGCACGTCAGGCTTCCCTGTCCTTCACCAACTCCCGGACCTTGCTCAAACTCATGTCCATCGAGTTGATGGTGCCATCCAACCATCTCTCAACCTCTGTCAACCCCTTTTCCTCCTGCCTTCAGTCTTTCCCAGCATCAGGGTCTTTTCCAATGAGTCAGTTCTTCACATCAGGTAGCCAAAGTATTGGAGTTTCAACTTCAGCATCAGTCCTTCCAATGAGTATTCAGGACTGATTTGCTTTAGGATTGACTGGTTTGATCTCCTTGCAGTCCAAGAGACTCTCAAGAGTCTTCTCCAACTCCACAGCCTCCGCGACCATGTGATTATCTATAAACAATAGCAATAATTAATAGTTTTCATTTGCTGAGTGTGTAGTCTCTTAAGATAGGCACAAAGCTTAATCTTTTTAAATGCCTTATTTTATCTTACGGCAATGGTCTCCAGCAGATGTTATTACCCCTATTCTACAGATGAGAAAACAGAAGTTGAGTTTAAATAATTTGCCTGAGATCGCAGAGATAAAAGCTGATTAGTCTCGATTGAACTCAGGTCTGCTTGATGTCAGAATCTTGCCAGGAGTTTCCCAAAATGAAATGCATATACTACTTGTAGTTTGCAAAATAATGATAAGATGATATGCAGATTAACATTCTTTTAAATGTTATAAATTTAAAACTAGCTCATTATGGTAGAAATAGAGCTTTCTGAAATTATTTAAGTACTAGGAATTCTCTGACAGTTTCAATGTTTCAGGCTTGGTGCGTTCACTGCCAAGAGCCCAGATTCAATCCCTGTTTGGGGAACTAAGATCCCACATTCTGTAAGGCGTGGCCAAAAACGAACAAGCAAAGTATATATATATATAATTTAAGTACAAAAAGGGGTCCATTAAAATCAAAATTGAAATTAATATTAATTTCAATTAATGTTAGTAAAAATAATTAAAAAGACAGTGTTAGTTGTTTGAGTTTTTAAAATATTAAGTAAATAACAATATAGGGCTTCCCTGGTGGCTTAGTGGTAGAGAATCCACCTGCACATGCAGGAGACACAAGTTCAATCCCTGGGTCGGGAAGATTCCCTAGAGTGGAAAATGGCAACCCACTCCAGTATTCTTGCCTGGGAAATCCCATGGACAGAGGGGCCTGGTGGGCTACAGCCCATGGGGTCACAAAAGAGTCAGACATGACTTAGTGACTAAACAACAACAAATAACAGTACAGTGGTACTCAGATATAGCAAATTTCATGAAGGTGGTTCTCGAATGTCTGAAGTTTGGAAATTGTTGTTTTGTGCTTTCCTCATACACAAGCTATGTGACTTAACCTCTCAGAACCTCAGGTTTTCGGTTGTAAATGTGGGCAAGGGAGTCTAGGCTAGATCAGGGCTCCCTAAATGATTTGGTACAGGAGTTGCTTTTTAGTTCCCTGGAGCTTATGTTTTGAGCCCACGGCAGGGCCATTTGTCATCTTGGAGTCCTTGGTGCTGATTCAAATGGTAAGGGTGGGAAGGGGTTGGGAGGATGGATAGATGACAGAGGAAGTGAGTTGCTGGGTTCAGCTCTGTCTTCTCCTGGAAATTTCACACATCTCTAGAGGTGGGGATGGGACTATGGGAGGGAAAAGCAAAACTGCCTGTAATTTAACAGGTGATGTTTTAAGAGAGCTTCCCTGGTAGCTCAGCTGATAAAGAATCCACCTGCAATGCAGGAGACCCCAGTCCAATTCCTGGGTCAGGAAGATCCCCTGGAGAAGGAAGGGATAAGCGACCCACTCCAGTATTCTTGGGCTTTCCTGGTGGCTCAGACAGTAAAGAATCTGCCTGCAATGCAGGAGACCTGGCTTTGATCCCTGGGTTGGGAAGATCCCCTGGAGGAGGACATGGCTACGCGCTCCAGTATTCTTGCCTGGAGAATACCCATGGACAGAGGAGCCTGGCGGGCTACAGCCCATGGGGTCACAAAGAATCAGACACAACTGAGAGACTAAGCACAGTGTTTTAACATGCTCCCTTGGGTGGGTGGGGGAAGACTGTGGACTTTCCAGCTCTATAATATGATTATGTAATGATGACTTTTCATTTCAATTTAGATTTCCACAGAGATTGCAAAGAGTTCACTCATGAGTCTCTTGCCTAAACCCCCAAAGCATGAGGATCCCCTCATGATTGAGTTCCCAAACTTGGACATGACTTCTACAGAATGGCTAAAGACCAATAGCCTTAAAGGTAAATCCCCAGAGAGAGAAGAACCCAAAATGCAGATGACTGACCGAAGGCATGAACCCTTTGGGGCTTCATGAGCAGTGCCTCAAACCCCACCATTTATTTTTACAGCCAAGAAGCTAAGCCTTTATCAGGTTCTGGCACCCAATGCATTCTCTCCCGTGGAGGAATTTGTGCCTATTCTCCGGAAAACAGTATCATCAACTATCCATGAGGTAACTCAGATTCAGAGTTCTGTCCAGTCCTTTGCTGTGGAGCTCCTGTGTGGTATTTCCTTTCTGAAATGTCCAGGAAATAGAGGTCATGAGACAGAGCCCAAGGGGCAGGACCTGAGGGCTTGGAGTGGGATGCAGGCTTTCCACCCAGGACTCTAGAACTCTCATCAAATCTACTCTAGCTGCTGTTTTTCAAAGATACGAAAAATGAAACGGGAGATTGGGGAAGGAGGGGGTATACTGGGCACCTTGGTCACCTCCTCCATGAAGGTTTCCTCCTTGTCATTCAGAACACACTCTCTCTTTGGGCCCTTGCTCTAACCATATACAGACTTCTCTTATTGCCCCTATATTGTGCGTATGTGTGTATTTGTTACAAGTCTAACCCCCACAGAAGTATGAGCCCTATAAAAGAAAATACTCTTCCCCAACACTCTGTCCCCTATATGTAGTACAAGTAAGCAGTCAATGAATGTCTGCGTGGGTGGACAGAAGGATGGAAAGAGGGAGGAAAAGGCTGAGTGAGTGGATGGATGGAAATGATAAATGAATAGGTGAAAGAATGGATGGATGGATGGAAATATGAACAGATGGAAGGACAGATAACAGGATAGAATAAAAAGATGAAAGGATACAAGTCAAGATTAAATGAAGGATAAAGGATGGAGAAGTGGAAGGACAGCATATTAGGTGAACAGAAAGATCAGTCAGTGGAGGGACTTCCCTGGTGGTGCAGTGGTTGAGACTCTGCACTCCCATTACAGGGGGCATGGGTCCAATCCCTGGTCAGGGGACTATGATCCCAGAGGCAGCGAGGCAAGGCCAGAAAAGAGAAGATCAGTGGAAAGACAGAAGAATGAAAGGAAAGAGACAGGGGGTGTCTAGTCCTGGCAGCCCATAGATGAATGACTAGATGGAAAGAGTGACAGAGATACAGATAAGACACCTTGATGGAGGATGAATGAACAGAATGAGCAAGTTTGATTTTCAAAGTGTCCATGAAGGCCCATGTGGGTTTCCAAATCTAAGGACTTATGACTATAGTATGCTTTAAGTCTCCAACTCTGCTATCACCCAAAACTTCTAACCGTACCTTGTAATAAAGACACTGGTGTTCAGAAGAACCTCCTGAGAAGGGAGCCGGCTTGTGGTCAGACCTGGTCCATTCAGGGGACTGTATCCTGAAGTCCAGCTCCAGACAAGGCAATGGCCTGGTGATGGGGAGGGGCACAATCCACCCGCAGATGTGTTAAGAACCCATTTCCCTCTCTTGCATCTGACTTGGAGAACGCCGTGACCGATTTAAACTTAAAATCCTTCCTCACTTGTGCTTCTGTTCCCCTGCTCCCCTCCTGGCCACACCTGAGTGCAGAAGGCAATGGTGCAGTTTGAATGGCATGACGGGACAGTGAAGAATATTCACGTGGACTTGCCCTTCCTGTATGAATACCAGGTCAGCGCTGGGTCCCCTTGGTCAGAATGTGGGCTGTGGGGAGGGGGATGGGAGGAAGGTGTCGTGGAATGTGGATGCACCAAGCCAGTGACAGAAGCCCCTCCTGTAAACAGACTGTGCTGCATGCACAGGCCCTTCTGGAGCTTTCTCCACCTCCTCTCCAGGCAAGAACCTGGAGGCCTTAAGCAAAAACCTCTAATCCTTTTGGTCAAGATTTACCTCCTCCCCATTTGAGGCAATGAAATACTTTGACTCTTCCCTTCCTAGGCTTGTGACAGAAAAGTACATGCTTTTATATATATATATCTTTAAACAAATTTTTATTTATTTATCTATATTTTTGGCATGCTGGGTCTTTGTTGCTGCGCACGGGCTTTCTCTAGGGCAGCAAGCGGGGGCTCCTCTCTACTTGTAGAGCTGGGTCTTCTCATTGCAATGGTTTCTCTTACTGCGGAGCATGGGCTCCAGATGCACAGTCTTCAGTAGTTGTGGCTCACGGGCTCCAGAGTGGGGGCTCAGTAGTTGTAGCACATGGGCTTAGTTGCCCTGTGGCATGTGGAATCTTTCTGGGCCACGAATCGAACTGGTGTTCCCTGCAGTGGCACGCAGATTCTTAACCTCTAGGCCACAAGGGAAGTCTTAGTACATGTTTTAGAGGGGTTTTTGTACTGCCTGGATACCCATGGCCTCGACACACCATTCCCAGAAGCCAAGTGGGGCACACCCTCTTCCCCGACAGGCCCCTTAGTCAACCATGTTCTGTGCACGGCTGACTGTGTGTGGCCCATGAGTTTGCAGAAAGAGCTCAGCAGAGCGATGCGGATGTATGAGAGGCGGATCGAGTGGCTCTCCTTGGCCAGCAGAAGAATCTGGGGCACCGTCTGTGAAAAAAGGTAACTTCCCCCAGTATTGTTCTTGTCTTTCATGGTGTCGTGTGTGACGCAGCACTCATTCAACTTACGAATTTCCTGTTGGTAGCATCAGAATCCATCATTTAGATTCAGGATCAATAAGGGCTCAGCAGAACCCCTGGAGGGAAAAGTCACCACCATTAACTGCAACCTCAAGAATAGCATCATTATGTCTTTGTTAAAAAGCAAAAGGAACTGAGTGCAAACTGAAACGAATCAGGGAAGTCTGGTTAAGGTAACTATATTCTAACGTGGATTTGGTAGCTGTCTTCAGGCCTGGCTTGATCCAGAGATTCATACATGTCAGGAATTTCTTTCCAACTCTCAGTTCCATTTTCCTCTTTCTTGGCTTTGTTTTCAGGCAGGCTGTCTGCTCTAGGTAGGAAGATAGCCACCCAAAGTTCCCAACTTCTTTCCTTCCAGTTTAGCACTTCCAGGGGTTAGGGTGTGGGCCCATCCATGAGCCACTTGGGCCAAGAGGATTTGATGTTCTGATTGCCTGGGGTCTAATGTCCACTTTAAAGCTTGGGCTGGGGTCAGCTCTACTCAACTCAAGTGGACCAATAGAGATAGAGGTATTCCCCCCACACCAGAAAAAAAGATCAAGATACTGTTTTGAGCAGAGGTAATGGATGCTGAGTAGGAAGAAGCAGTAGGTATCTATTATATCATTACCATTCCATACCTTACTTAATGCATTACCACTTATCATGTATTAGAAGTTTGTAATACCATTCATCTGCTCTATTTTTTAACTCTCAAAGCAACCCGTTGAAGAGTCTTATTATAGTTTATATAGTTAAATATGCCAAGGAACAGGTTTCCAAGGTGGTGCAGTAGTAAAGAATCTGACTGCTAATAAAATGGACAACTTGGAAGAAATGGACAAGTTCTTAGAGAAGTATAACTTTCCAAAACTGAACCAGGAAGAAATAGATCTTAACAAACCCATCACAAGCAAGGAAATCAAAACTGTAATCAGAAATCTTCCAGCAAACAAAAGCCCAGGACCAGATGGCTTCACAGCTGAATTCTACCAAAAATTTAGAGAAGAGCTAACACCTATCTTACTCAAACTCTTCCAGAAAATTGCAGAAGAAGGTAAACT